ATGTTGAGTATTCACCGTCGCTCAATGACCTCAGTAGTACCAGGAGCACAGCCTTAGCTACATAATTTCTTCGGTATCATTTTATCCTTGCACAAGATTGTACTGGTGGTAGGACCTCATGTGAGTCCGCACGGATAGGTACCACCACCCCGCCTATTTCTGCCGTGAAGCAGTAATGCGTTTCGGCTTAAAGTGTGGGGCAACGGTTGTAACTATACTGAGACCTTAGAACTTATATCACAAGGCGGGTGGCGCATTTGCGTTATAAATATCTATGGGCTTCAGTAACCACTTAACACCAGGTGGGCTGTGAGCTCGTCCCCCATCTAAACAATAAAAAAAAAAAAAATTCGCATTAGACATAGATACATAGATAGATATAAAAACAAATTTTCTTAGACTAAATATAGTGTCACTACATTTTTCTAATACCGACCGTTGACTTTCAAAGCGTTCTTTTGCCTTTTCGAAACTGACGTTTTTGCTGAGAATGAAAATCGAATTGCGAGATCTAGGTACAATGTTAAACAAAGTCTGTTTTCAATTTCTCCTGGAAAACCTAAAAAGATGATGGAAAACTTGAAACAAATGATACACTTACCTACGATAATTTACAAACAAAGGTTTTCCAAAAATAATCCCGCCAAAGACCATTAAAACGTCGTAAATGTCGTTCTATTGTATTTTGTCGTCGCCATTATACCACATTCCTCTAAAATCACTCGAATAAATTGTCAGTGCTTTTATTGATAAAACTATGTTCAATAATAAATTAATCAAAGAATCCGTGACGTTTTTACAACTACGCCCTATATTCGAGATTCCTTTGGCAAACACAATGGAACTAATAAAAAGTTTACGCAACTTATATCTGGTTAGTCTCGTCTGATATTTTGACGTTTGTCATCTCTGACAGTGTCTGACATTAGATAATGGAAGAAAAATGCGCATAAAATATTTATACGTAGCTCGCGACTTATTTGTTCAGGATGTTTTTAACATAAAAGTAGATTAATATTGGTAGATAAAAATATAGCAATGAAAATAAAAATTTTAAAATTTTAGGTTTTTGTTTTTTGTTTTGATTATCTTTCATTTTTCAAGAGCATCTTATTGCTAATATTAAATTCAAGTTTTTATAATAAGATCAACAACGTACGATTACTAAGTCTTTTCAATAACATGTTTCGAAAATTTAACTATAACCACAGTTAAAGATAGATTAATAACACATTAAAAACAAAGGGAATCATTTGTATTGCTAATTGTTAGCCTTTGCTGAATTGTATGAAATCGGATGATTAATATAACTCGACGTTTTTATGTTTTAATTTACGATCCAGACAGCACCGTAATATGAAACAAGATGACACGGCTGTCAAAAAGGGCAGTTGCCAAATGAAGATTTAAAAGTAAAGTTTGTATATTTTGTACAGAAGATGAGAGAATACGAAAAAGGTGAAAAGACACTGTTTCGTTTTGATTTAGTATTCCGTTGTGTTGGAGTTTGTATATAAATGCAATGGCAGGCAACACTTGACACTTGATTAGATTTCGAATATTAGAATTATTTTAAATGTTTCAAAAACAGATCATTGTATTCTCGTAAGAAAATGTCAGGACTTCTCATCTAGACACGGCAAGACAAACATGTAATAGTTTTATAAAAAATATAAAGATAATAATTGTATAATGGTGTAAAAGTGTTCAAGCTATCTGCAATATAATTATAATGAAGCAGTTGTGTTTTTAAATAGCCCCTCATCACCTACAGAACCCAATCCCCGCAAATGTAACCGTCCAACACGTTGCTACATCAATAGATGTATTTAACAGTCTGGTTCCCGTAGAATGGCAATTAAAATGCGTGCCATTAGAATTAATTTGTCTCTTAATAGTCTTCGAAGTCAGCGCTCAGGGGAGTCAATGAACAAATTTCTATATATTTTTTTTAAATTAAGTGTCACTGGTGGCCCGGAGTCCTTTCCAGTTTCACGAGGACAGGTGGGCAAGCAAAAACTCAGCCAGAAGCGAAGTCCCGAAGCCAGGGATTTTTCTATTAAGCATTCCTAAAAAAATATATGTATGTGAATATTTCGGACAAGCGCCACCCAGGTTACGGACGTTTCCGAAACGGATACGGAAAATGAAAATAAATTGTCGCAAGGCTTTTCACGATATATTATTCATAGGAATAGGCCGTTAAGATTCGACAAAAGGGCCGATGGATGTCACGCCGCGTCCGAGGTTTTCCCGCACGTCCTTCCCTCTCCGATCTGGATTTATGTCCGGCTTGTCGGTAACCGCAACTTACCATGTTGAATTTTTGACGCGCTTGCTCTGTTTAGGATACCAAAAAAAAATCCTCGTTGCTCTCTGCTTTTAAAATATTGTTTATTGCTTTGTGGAGCAGACAGTTTCCTCATTGGAGTACGGTTAGTGAATGCGCTATCACTATGGTGATTTCCAACTCCTTGAACCTAAGTAAGTTTAAGTCTCGATCCATGGTATACTTGCTATGTAAGTGGTCGTACAACAATGACTTTACAACAACGTTACAAGCAAGAGCTATCAGCCCCATTGGTATTTAAAAATTCTGTCGCGTTATGGCGATGGCGTTTGGTGAAAAAGCAACCGAGGGTCGTTTAGTTGGTTTGACTTCAAAGTACATTACACGTTCTTAGCTCGTAAGGCGACCAAGGATTTTTTGCATAGATGTCGAAAAATCACATCGATGTTGAAGTCGTCGTGGTCTAAAGGATAGGATGTCCGGTGCATTCGTATCTAACGGTATACCGGTGTTCGAATCCCGCAGGCAGGTGCCAATTTTTGTAATGAAATACGTACTTAACAAATGTTCACGATTGACTTCCACGGTGAAGGAATAACATCTTGTAATAATATTCAGACCCGCAAAATTATAATTTGCGTAATTACTGGTGCAGGACTTCTTGTGGGTCCGCGCGGGTAGGTACCACCGCCCCGCCTATTTCTACCGTGAAGCAGTAATGGGTTTCGGTCTGAAGGGTAGGGCAGCCGTTATAACTATACTGAGATCTTAGAACTTATATCTCAAGGTGGGTGACGCATTTACGTTGTGGATGTCTATGGGCTCTAGTAACCACTTAACACCAGGTGGGCTGTGAGCTCGTTCGCCCACCTAAGCAATAAAAAAAATTTACCAAACCAGTATAAAAATACTATTTGCATAATTTCAAATTGTGGGCGTATTGTAACGTTACTACCTATTTACTGGTGGCCTTGAGGGTCTATTCTGGTTTCATCGAACTGGAGATTGTAAAGATGCAAATAAACATACCATACGTATTTCTGCGCTTGAACTACTCATTATATTATATCATTCACATTGACATTGTGATGCTTGTGATCTCGTTTAACCACTTAACGTCAGATGGGCCGTGAGCTCATACACCCGTCTAATCAATAAAAATAAATGAAAGCATTAAAAAAATTAAGACAACAATATTCATTTACACGTCTATGATTCATTATCTTTGAAAAATATTACATCAAACTCGTTGACAAAAAAGAAGAAAAGGTCGGTAAAGTATTTTCTTATTATTTCAATACTAAGCTCATATATTACCGCTGGGAGCTCATAGCATTAGGCTTTTGAGTATAAAACAAAAGTGACATTAATCAACCAACAACATAATGTCTCGGAATCAGTTATTCTAGAAACTTCTCACTCGACCCGTAATGTGTAACCCGTCGAAACTATAAGCAAGTGAGAATGGCATCGAACCAAAGAGGTAAGTATACGCCAGAATTTGGCCGAAATAAGCCTCCCTCTGAGCCTTTAATGGACCCTTCGATTGCTTACGAAGAAATATTGCTTGGAGTTTTATATTTTGTTTCACGTAACTTTGCTGTTTGTTTTTTTTTTGTGGTGTAATTTTCTTGGCACATTTAAAGATTAGGTTATTTAATATTCTTTCATATATTTTGTATTTCGACAGACAGACCACCTTTTTTAATTAGTTTCGAGAAATATGAGGCCATAGGTAATAAGGCCAAAGATTTAATTGTCTTGTAATAAGTCGCTGTTTAATGCCCACAACTCTTTTAAGCCTCGTTTGGAGACGTAGTTCGTTAAATTTTGGAATAGCATTTTGCATAGCATTTTGGCATGTTCTCTCCAAACGCAATGCTGATGAGCGTAGAGGTTTTGAGCAATAATATTCAGATGAGACAGGCCGGTGCAGAAGGTGAGGATGAAATCATTTCAAAGACTTTATCAGAGTATTCCCCTTAGAACATACGATACAAATCATAGAAAGAATGAAAATCCTTCCGTTGACTCAGAGCTTCTAAGCGAACCGATTCCCTCTGGAAGGAATCAGGTGCTTATGTTGACAAAAGGGTGAGAGTTAAGTTACATTTTTTTTTCTTTTGTCCCGGTAGGCAAAAGAGTATACAGCACACCTGATGGTGAGTTATTACCGACGTTTATCGACGTCAGCGATGCCAGGAGCAAAGCTAAGTCACTGCCTACATTCACACGGATGATATTACAAAAACAAAAGCAATACTTGAATTAGTTTTTCCAAATTTAAATTGGAGATGCCTAGAAGGACAAATAATAGAATAATGTACACATGATGAACTTTTATTTAATACAGTATATTGTATTATATCAAAATGAACAGGTAACACTTTGTAAATCACTAAAAATAATGATTACAAAACATGTAGAATGCCCTTTTCAAACAGAACTCTTTTCAAATCTCGGTGAAGAAGGACATGTCACTTATATTATAAATACAATCTTTGGCCACATATAACATTATGCGAACCAAAAAAGTTAAAATGATTAGATTACTACTACGAAATAGTGGCTTAAAATTTAAATTAACAATGTTTGAAAAAATATTGGCATTAAAAATTAATAAATGCACCTCAGACTTATCCGTTTTCACTGGATATATTTCGATAGAACAATTCGTTTAAGAAAATTATACGAATAATCACGAGACCATCTACTTTTCAAACATAAATAACTTAGTTAAAGTAAACCTAGTTTCGGTCATCTGCTTTTTATTGTTGGTCTCCTGACATTTGGGCGTGTACGTACTCTTCGCATATGCAATGCTTTTGTTCACCATCGTGATCATATGCAGTAGATCGATTTCCTTGTGATTCTTTCTAATGATTTCGCACAGTGTCTGGATTAGCCACGATCCTCTTGAATCACGGTAGGAAAGATAACCTGAAACAGACATACTTAATATTAGATCTTAATGTGGAATGTTTATCGTGTTCCTTTCCGGTAATAGGTTGCATTAGGAACCCGCACTGGTAGGCCGCAATTCAAAACTATCCCATTCATTCTTGTCATTTCATGATATAAGGCTCTAGGACATATTTGCATTAGATGGACCGAACAACTTTCCCCCGGATCTTAAGTACTTTATTTACATTGTGTTTTCAATGAAGCACGATAACTTCACGATACAAGTATTATGAAAAGAGTAAAAAAAGACGCTTAGCACGTGTATTTAATGACAGGTAAACTCTGCATTCTCAGTAATAAGCTAACATTAAATAAATTTAGTATTAAAATTTGGTTATTGGAGTGAATAAATCGTGGACATGACGATTATTATCACCTACCGTGAGACACGAGGACAGATTCCCAATAATAAGTCCTTAATGCATTATACAATGGCTGTCGCACGCTTCAAAGTGGAATCAACGAATGGTTCGAGCTCAAATAGACAGGAAATTATACCTACCCGCACGGGATAACAATAAAGGAAATAATGAGATTACTAGTAGTAATTAAATCAGTTAAAAAGTAATGAGACAAATGAAATAAAAAATGTTTTTGCTTGTCACACCTCTTCTTTTTCTGAGTTTTTTAAATGAAAATACAGCAAATAATCTCGAAATTGTACTAAGCACTGGAACACGAGTCACAAGCTCTGTGAAAATAAAAAAGTATGATCAGCAAATTAAAAACAGGATTATGTAAAATTTGATTCACTAAAAATAAATACATATTCGGATGCATGGTAAAAAAAGGACTTTGGGAATGCATCAATGGGTTACAAAATCTAATTATGACAAATTAGAATTAAGTAAGTTGCATATATCGATAGAAAAATAGTTCGAAAGTACCGTCAACAGAAGAATGTAAGAAGAGGAAGTCCGAATGCGTTGGAAGGCGTAAGACGCCCCTGCTTTCACCATCCAGCACCACTGTTCTGCCCTCATCCATAAAGGGACCACGGCATGCCTAGAAAATGCCCGAAATATTACCATAAAAATATACAATTAATTATTACCAGATAGATAGGTGTACAAAAACTTTGATACCAAGGTGAATTCGCGTCATTCGATGCTTTGTTCTTCTACCCCCAAATATTGGGGGTTTCGAAGAAAGTATAATTATCGTTTCGGATTGAAAGGCGGTATTTATTCTACGAAGGACTTTAATAAGAGCTTAATACGAATAAGCTACAGAGCTTGTTCGCCCCTCTTATTCTGTCATGGTAAATAAGTGACTGAAAACTGTGCATGTACCCTATAGAAGAAAATTTCCGATGTATTGAACGATATGAGTGTGCTGAGGTTACCACTCATCTTTTTTTCCCTAACACGTGTTCACGAACCGAAGATTAACCAATAACATTGATTAATAAAAATTATATAAAAGACGTTGTTGGTAGGATGTACTACTTGGAGGATCAAAAAGTAGTGAAAATGAGATGGAATATAATGACTATTGATAACTTGATAATTTATTTATCTACATAGTCTCCGACTCTCTCTCTCTCTCTCTACACACCGAGTCAAGCGCTTTTCCTGCGTCGTTAACTTTTTTAAACAGAGGTATTTAATAACGGCTCGCACTTCATTTTTCTCCATTTTCGAGAACGCGAAGCAAACAAATGACTACATTCAGAAAAAAGAACAAAAGAGAATCGAAGATTTATTTATTTATTAATGTTACAAATATGTATCTCTGAGCTATGCCTGCCAGTATTTTTTTTTCTTACCAAGGAGTATGTCGTTCTCACTACTTTTTGATCCCTCCTAGTATACTATTGTAGGTTGGTATCTATCTGTGCGGGACAGTACATCCTATCTATTTATCCTTAATATTTACATAGCACTGTAACTATACGCAAATAGTATGTACGTATTTATGTATGTATGTATATATAGATGTATGTAGGCACATATTTATCAATAATATATATGGGATGTATTATGTATTGTAAATTACGGGTGGGTGGACGAGCTCACAGCCCACCTGGTGTTAAGTGGTTACTGGAGCCCATAGACATCTACAACGTAAATGCGCCACCCACCTTGAGACATAAGTTCTAAGGTCTCAATGTAGTTACAACGGCTGCCCCACCCTTCAAACCGAAACGCATTACTGCGTCACGGCAGAAATAGGCAGGGCGGTGGTACCTACCCGTGCGGACTCACAAGAGATCCTACCACCAGTAATTACGCAAATTATAATTTTGCGGGTTTGATTTTTATTACACGATGTTATTCCTTCACCGTGGAAGTCAATCCTGAACATCTATTGACTTTTGCTGCGTATAGATAGTACAATATAATTAGGTCTTCGGCCTTATGTTTAGGTTTTATAAGTATTTTCAGTATTTAACGATGTCTGTGTAGTTAAGTAACAATAAGTGGACCGTGGACAAAACCATCCAGTTGAGGCAATAGTCATTCTAGCAGTGTCGTGAAACTAACGAAAGCTGATTTTACCTGAACAAAAAAGATCTTAGGCTTGCCGACTAGCGTGTGATGAGCATTCTCAATCATATTAGTGAGGTCGCTGATCTTGTATGGTTGGTCGGCAGCGAATACTTCGCCGCTATCGCCATGTGTCAGGATCGTCACAATAACACATGAGGTCTTGCTATGATCGCGCTTGCAAACTAGAACCAAAATAAAAGATTTTCTTTTTCAATTTCAGGTATAGTAATCGACTCCAGCTTGTGGTTGTATGCGAACCACACTAGCACGGTAAGAAGTAGATTCATTGCTAAAGGTTTTTGGAACGAAGTTCCTTATGGGACGATGCGGAAGGGTACCCTAACCGAGAAAAAACGTCCGTAACGTAAGATTTTTATTAGTAATGCGCACAGTGTACGACTTATCTTTGTAATAACGTAAAAATTAGTAATGCACACAGTGTACGACTTAACTTTGTAATAGCGTACAAAAAATAACATTTTTTATCATTCATTGACCATGATCTCAGAGCGTTTGTTTGCGCAATACACTAACTCTTATGCAAACAACCGTGAATGAAGTGTACCATAATAAGTTCACACGTTACCGAATGACCGTGGGTTGTTGCGAAACCTCCAGTTTTATTTTCTTTATACCTCGAATAGAACATAAAATTAATATTTTTATAATAAGGAACTTCGCACACACACCACACATCTTTTTTTAAGAAGCACGTAGCGTGGTGTTGCTTAAAATAGCAGCTACCTATCTTCTCGTGGGTATCTTAAAAGGCCACCAGGAACTTCTTGGCGAATAGACAGCAGCGATCTCTGTATATTGCAACAGAGTACTGAGATCATTTTCACTGGTGGTACGACCACTGGGAGTCCGCACGGGTAGGTACCACCGCCCTGCCTATTTCCGCCGTGAAGCAGTAATGCGTTTCGGTTCGAAGTGTGGGGTAGCCGTTATAACTATACTGAGATCTTAGAACTTATATCTCGAGGTGGGTGGCGCATTTACGTTGTAGATGTCTATGGGCTCCAGTAACCACTTAACACCAGGTGGGCTGTGAGCTCGTCCATCCATCTAAGCAATAAAAAAAAAACCCTAATCGGCATTCACTGATGATAGGGTCTATTAAGAGCTTACACGGATCGCTACTACTATCCTGCATATATCTGCTGCGAAGCAGTCATTCATTTCGGTTTGAAGGAGATATAGCCGTTATATTAATTTAATTGGAATGACGACCTGGTGTCTGAAGGTAAGTGGCGGCTTTCATATTTTTATGTCTATGGGTTCCGGTAAGCACTTAACACCAGGTGGCTGTGAACTCGTTCCCCCATTCACGTAATACACAAATAAATAAACCAACTCTTTAAGAACCATCTAACTACAATCTTATTTATTTATTGCATAGATGGGTGGACGATCTCACAGCCCATCTAGTTTTAAGTGGTTACCCATAGACATCTACGACGTAAATGCGCCACTCACCTTAAAACACCTAGAGATACACATTTTATTACATATAACAGTGAAGCCTATGGGCCAATGACGTTTGATATAAACCAATAAGTTACTCACATTCAGCAACTCTATTTAAAATATCTTCATAGACAAGATCGGTGTAAGTTGTAACATTGTAAGATAGACCTTCGAATAAATCCTTTAAACTTTTGACATCTTCAAATGTACCGTTTCTTGTCGAGGGCTGTTTATATCTGCGAATTTAAATAATCAAAATATGTAGTTACAAACCAAATAATGGAAGACTATTTAAACATTACTTATGTCATGACAAAAATCAAACTTGCATTATGTTCGAAATGAGCGCAAATATTTAAAAAAAAACAAGTCAATATCGTTTCGCGTATTAAGTTTTCTATATCTCAGTGAATCTCGTGAGAACTGAAAGGGGATATCCATAAAGAGTATACGTAATTTTAGTCAAAATTTGTGTGATATTTATTTTGCATTTACAAGATACAAGTAATGAACAACATCTATATATTTAAAAATGAATTGCTGTTCGTTAGTCTCTCTAAAACTCGAGAACGGCTGGAGCGATTTGGCTAATTTTGGTCTTGAATTATTTATGGAAGTCCAGAGAAGGTTTAAAAGGTATTATAGATAAATATGAGAAAGATGAAAATGCCTGGAATTAAATAAAAATAACAATTTTGTTTTTCCTTTGATGTCCCCCCCATCGGACGGATTACTTTTGTTTGTTTTAAGTTTATTTTATACAAAAGTTTAGGTCTTTTGTTTATCGATTGAGGCACTACGAAGTCTGCCGGGTCAGCTAGTGCTTAATAAAATGTTGTCAAACTTACTGAAAGTATTTGGTTTTCTTGAAGGTGTAATGATTGAAGATAATCAAGTATTTATCTCCGGACATATTGTAATACATTGATTCCGGGTCAAAACTCACTGTCGGTTGTGTATCTTCTGAGTTATCCATGACTTCTTTATTGCTGAAACAAAAGAAAATAACGTCAGGGTACTTACTAGCATCATAGATGTACATTTAGAACGTATTACTGTAGGCAGGAGGTTGAATATCTGTACCTTACTAACGGTCATTCAAAACAAAGTCATATAAGAAAAAAAACCTTTGGTCAATAACCAACCAGAATAGAAAATGGTGAAAATAAACTTGCTACATTAGTATCTTGAACACATCTTGTCATCGAAGATTTGCGAGCTTACGTTAGTATCAATGACAAGATTATCGGTGTCGTCAATTCGGTTTCTACTATTAACCCTTTGACTGACATGTAGGTCACCGGTGTCCTACGCGAGGCACTCAAGTAATTATATCGATTTCTGTTACTAAGACGCCGGAATATGTAGTAGAGTCTAAGAAAGACGAATCCGAAGATACTGAGAATGAATTGTATTTCTAAGTGACCTAAAATACTAATACCTACATTAAAAATAATAGAAGGCAAAGTTAGGCAATCCAGGCGCCAGGTCAACGTGTTAAGGAGTGTAAACCTGAATTTTAATAAACATAATCATATTACGATACATGAGAGAACCACTCCAGATTATGATCGCATGCGGCAATAATTCTCATGTAATTTGCCTGCAGGTACAATAGTTGGACATGATAAATGTAGAAGAAAAAAAACTGGGAAAGAATAACATACTACTAAATATATTGTCCTTGTATACGTTGTTATCAGTAATAGCGGTCAACAACACGCCATATTGAAAATATGAGTTTAAAAATAAAACAATTAATACAAACTAACCTCGAATTGGACGGGTTCGCGTTGAAAATGTTGAAATCGTTCGAAGTCTCCTCCATTTTAAATGTTCAAATACAACGGCTTAAGTGGGATTGTCGATAATGAAGCTATCCACAAAATTTTCAATTTCGCATTAAAGTTTCTTGTTGACAAGCAGGCGTAATTCACTCTTAGAAATCACAATACGAATTCACTCAATCGTACTGAAAATATTATTGCAATATAGTTGCTATGAACACAATTAACAAATTATAAGTTACAATTGAAGCTACAATGTAAATCAAATACAAATTATTATTTTTGCACGTGACTGTTATTACGATGCTCCCGTTACGAATGACTCAAAATTTTTAGACAACTCGTATTTATGTCTGGATTCAAACGCCATGTTTCGCAACCCGCTAAATCTCTTACATACTACGTATTATCGATTTTGATAAGCCGTTATCGATTATGCATGTGTGGGTGTTACTGCAAAAGATAATGCTATAAACACTTAATGTTTTTTTTTGTTTTTTCCTGTTTTATGTAATTTTAAATTCAAAAGAAATGGACTTTATTTGTTTATTTATCAGTTTACATACATTATTTTATGTAAGGAGTTCACTGAAAATATATATATGCCATTAATATGTATAGCTGAAAGTTGATGTCATAAAATTATTGAATCGGCAAATACAATATATAAACTTCCAAGAGTTTGGAGTAATAATTAAGTAATATATCAAGCATAAGAAGGAAAGGAAGGGAATTTTAAAAATAACACACGTAACCAGGTTTGGTGGTAGGACCTCTTGTGAGTCCGCGCGGGTGGGTACCACCACCCTGCCTATTTCTGCCGTGAAGCAGTAATGCGTTGCGGTTTGAAGGGTGGGGCAGCCGTTGTAACTATACTTGAGACCTTAGAACTTGTATCTCAAGGTGGGTGGCGCATTTATGTTATGGATTTCTATGGGCTCCAGTAACCACTTAACACCAGGTGGGCTGTGAGCTCGTCCACCCATCTAAGCAATAAAAAAAAAAACCATTTGGCAAAGTTTATTATTGGGAAGAATGCAAGAAAATTCACCGGAGGAGTGTCGAATGAAGAATTTTGATGGGTATTATGGGGATATGGATAAACGTATAGGATATATTTACAATAGCTATGATTGTTATGATGGTTTATAATGGGATAGACCCAGGTTCATGTAGTAATGATCTTTAAATGTGATAGGAATGTAGTCAAAGTTTCAACTGTATTATGTAAAAGTCTCACGCTACGAACCAAACTAATTGACCGGTTTTGCGGCAGGATAATTGCATTTTTTTTTATTGCTTAGATGGGTGGACGAGCTCACAGCCCACCTGTTGTTAAGTGGTTACTGGAGCCCATGGACATCCACAACGTAAATGCGCCACCCACTTTGAGATATAAGTTCTAAGATCTCAGTATAGTTACAACGGCTACCCTACCCTTCCGACCGAAACGCATTACTGCTTCACGGCAGAAATAGGCAGGGCGGTGGTACCTACCCACGCGGACTCACAAGAGGTCCTACCACCAGTACACCACTTACACGTACATACTCATAAAAGTCCTTACCAAAAACAAGATTTTTTTACGGAATTTACTATATTCAATTAAAATTCGCAAATAAACGACGCCAAAGCAGACGAAAGAGCGTTTGATAACAACGAAGAACTCTTCAAAGGTACTGTATGAGGAAACATTAAAAAATGGTGCTCCTTAGAAAAATTACGGACGACCAAAAGGGTGGGATAACTATTGAACAAGTATCAAACATTAAAAAGTGAATTTTAATTTGAAATTTGCATAATTATAAAATAAATATGAAATGACGCTTCGAAAATGTTTTTGTAATTGCGTAATAAATTGGTAGTAATATTAATATTCGTCATTACATAATTGTACTTCGTTGTGTAATATTTTGTTTCATCATCCCGCTGCTAACACATGTGATGCAAATATTTTATTTCAGACAGTAATACGTTTTTTCTTTCAATTTGTTAGCGAAACTGACATCGGTGGTCATAGTAGATAAAACCAATATTTAAAACTAAATCCGTACCTAAAATATTTTTTACTTTTTCTCCGATCTTGTCAAGCAATAACGGCAAATGTCTACTGTGCCAAACTCCTAACAAAGATAGCAAAAATTGCAGTGAAACAGCCCCGACTCATGAATCGATCTTTACCATTATTGCTCCATGATAACCCGAGACCTCACTAAGGACGAGAAACCGTTTTAACTCTACAGGAACTGCAATTAGAAACCATTCGTCACCCTCCGTGGTCGCTAGACCTTGCTCCAACGGACTACCATTTTTTTTTTGTTAATTGCTTATTTAGGTGGACGAGCTCACAGCCCGCCTGGTGTTAAGTGGTTACTGTAGCCCATAGATATCTACAATGTAAATGCCGCCACCTACCCTGAGATATAAGTTCTAAGTTCTCAGTATAGTTACAACGACTGCCCCACCCTTCAAACCGAAACGCATTACTGCTTCACGGCAGAAATAGGCAAGGTGGTGGTACCTACCCGCGCGGACTCACAAGAGGTCCTACCACCAGTGATTACGCAAATTATAATTTTGCGGGTTTGATTTTTATCACACGATGTCATTCCTTCATCATGGAAGTCAATCGTGAACATTTGTAAATACGTATTTCATTAGAAAAATGGGGCCTGCGGGATTCGAACACCGTTGCATCATCGCTAGATACGAATGCACCGGGCGTCTTATCATTTAGGCCACGACGACTTAAAAAATCACGAACGACTTCCTCGATGAATTAACAATGTAGTATAAATACGCATTATAAATTGACAATAACAGCCTGTATGTATATTTTCGATACGGACAGATTCTCTTCTAAAAAGTATTAATTCAATCCGGTCTCATCTTTTGCAACCTAAACTCAGTGCTATAGATTATAATTTTAAACTTTAATACTTCTGCAATAGAAATGAATAGCATAAAATGGAAGGCCGTACTGATCCAGACTCTCTTAGCAATCAACTAGGAAATATTACTTTTTTGTTTATTAAATACCCCAACAATATAAAGTTTGGTAATAACATTAACCATGTTTCATTAAGTAGTAAAATGCTCCTTGTAATTCTTATGAATTACAAGCGTAAAAACATTCATCAGAGATAGATCATAATAAACTATGAGAAGAAACGTAAATTGTTCAAGCGTAATAAAAATATGAAAAACGTGAAAACAGAAAGGCCTCATCTAAACCATCTCAAACGAAATCTGTTAAGAACTGTTGGGAGAAGAATTGTTCAAAATGTTTGATATTTAAATTGGTAATATTGCGTCATTGTAAATTATAGCAGCGGAATTATGCAATATGCAAATATTACACAATCATACAACAGCATAGTTGATTATCATTGTGTAATATTATATTGTTAATATTAAATAATTCAGGGGTATTATAAGATCTCAATTGTTTTGTAGAAGCAGTGGTTCTATGCTTCAAACTGGATGACTGCCTCGCTACAGAAATAGGCAGTAAGCTATACCCTTGCAGGATCATAGGACGTCCTATCATTAAGTAATATTTATTCATTTATATATCATTATCATTTATCATTTCCATACTGTTGATTTATTATGTGTGTGTAAGTATATTAGTATGTATTGTATGTAAGTATGTATATTGGTATATATTATATTATGTAAACGGTATATATCTGTTTATTATATGTATATATTTTCTATAATAATGAATTGTATATGTACACCGCTACATACCTGCTATATTTTTTATATTTTACAGAATTTCTGTAAATTAGACGGTTGTCTGGAAGAGATCGCTTTTAGCGATAAGACCGCCTATTGTACATATGTGCTTTTTGACTGTTTTTTTTAAAATGTAAATTGTGTTGGTGTGCAATAAAGTGTATTCTCTCTCTCTCTCTCTATTTAATTATGAAAATATATTATAAAGCGATAGTGAGTGAGTGATAAGGCGTGTTGTGAGCGCTATCGTCTGACACCTCAAGTTTCGGTTTGCATTTGTAAATGTAATAAATTACATTTTCTCTTTTGTTCTGTTATTGACATTTTTTTGGACAGGTAACAAAAGCTGTTTCCACTTGTTATTAAGGGCACTAAAGCTCGTCAACAGATATTAAGCAAAAAATGAAATACTACTTTAAAAAAGCTAATCATTATCTCTATTAAAACGTTTCAATATAAATATTTAACTTCTCAAAGTAAAGAGAGATTTTATGTTTATAAGCTGAATAGCTTCCAAGTGCTTTCTATACAACTTTTGCCTTTGGTGGGGCGAACGATGATGTCAATAAATTGAGCGCAAAGATTGCCTAGTTCCCGGCTTCGGAACTTAAAAAACACGTAAGTAAATACTATGTCTGGTTGATTAAAGATTGCTAACTAATCTGTTGTTGTTATACTATATTCTTATTTTGACTCTATGAACATATAATTGCCCATCTAATTAAGTATTTACCTCTTTATTTTAAGTAGCCAATGCAGAGCCAATAACTAATGTGGTATTGGGTCTGCGTTTCATATTTTATATCAAACTACTAGCTAACCCGGCAGACTTCGTAGTGCCTCAATCGATAAATAAAATACCTAAACTTTTGTATAAAATAAACTTAAAACAAACACAAGGAATCCGTCCCACGGAGGACACATCAAAGGGAAAACAAAATTATTATTTTTATTTAATTCCGAGCATTTTCATATTTATCTACCTTTTAAACCTTCTATGAATTTCCACAAATAATTCAAGACCAAAATAAGCCAAATCGGTCCAGCCGTTCTCGAGTTTTAGCGAGACTAAAACGAACAGCAATTCATTTTTATATACCTATATAGAAGATAAACTAAGGGTAATTGTATTTAATATAAAAGATAAATAAAGTCAAAACTTTGTAAAATGAGAAATAATCAAGTTCTCAATAAGGCAATTAAAATCATTAGTTAACAAAACAAAATATATTTATTAATTTTTTTCGTGATTTACAGGCGAAATTATTTTGATCATTGACACTCGTTCTCTAATTTTGGC